TATGGTGAAAAGGGAATGCTCCTACACTGTTGGTGGGAATGTAAATTGGCCCAGCCACTGTGGAGAACAATATGGAGGTTCCTCAAAGACCTTCAAATAGAACTACCATATGATCCAGCAAGTCCACACCTGGGTATCTACCCAAAGGACAAGAGAATGCTCAGTCAGAAAAGCACTTGCACAACTATATTTATTGCAGCATTATTCATGATTGCTAAGACATGGAACCAACCCAAATGTCCACAAAAAGATGAATGGATTGAAAAAGCGTGGCTGATAGCAAGTGGACAAATATGGAAGATTTGTTGCTGAGTGAAGCAAGTCAGGCTATGAAAGAGAGACATTGTATGTCTCCACTTAACATATACCAACGGTCCATACTCTATGGTAAGAGACTATAAGACTGGAGGGTATAAGAGCATTGAAAATTGTTATGGACACTAGAGACAAAGTGGAAGGACAGTGTGTGTGTGTGGGTTGGGGGAGAGTTCAAGGAAGGAAATTTGAGGAAAAAAGAGAGAGGTAAGACATTTTTGGGACACAGATATGGTTTATTATCTGTTGATGATGATGTGTATAGTATTCTCAACTGGGCTGGACTGAGATATATATCATGCTGGGTAAAGTCTCTTTACAATCTAAATGATGTATAGCAATTGAATGTATAAATAATAATAATAAATAATAAATAAATTTTTAAAAAGAGATGTAAGGGACCAGCAGGTGGCATGGTAGTCAAGGCACTGACTTCCAATATGGAAACTGTGGTTTGAGTATTGAACCCTACAGCTTAAAATTCACTCTGGGCATATGTATGTGCATGCCCAAAATCTTGAGAGGAGACTGGAGAAGGAATTGCAACATAGCTATCCCCTCTGGGGGGAGGAGGGTGATTTCTCACTTTCCCTCTGTCTCCAGTGAGTGCATATGCCCTATGTCAAAAAAAAAAAAAAAAGAAAGAAGAAAAGGAAAGAAAGAAAAAATAAGGATGTAAAACAGTGCAACTGCTATGGAAAAAAAAAAGGATGTTCTTTCCTCAAAATATTAAAAATAAAATCAGCATATGATCTAGAGAGCGGTATCCAGCAATGCCACTCCTGAGTATATATTCAAAAGAATTGAAATCAGGGTCTTGAAGAGATCCTTGTACATTTGTATGCACACCAGCCATATTCACAGGAGCCAAGAGAAAGAACCAACCCAATTGTCCATCTGTGAATGAATGAACAAAATGTGGTTTATACATGGAAGTATATTCTTCAGTCTTTAAAAGAAAGGAAATTCTGACACCACATTATGGATAAACCTTGATGACATCATGCTAAATAAATAAGCCAGACACAATTAAAGACAAGTACTGTATGACTCTGCTTTCATAAGCCACCTAGAGTGGTGAAATTAATAGAAACAGAAAGTAGAATCAAGGTTTGCCAGTGGCAGGGAAATTGGAAATTCTTTTTTTGATGGGGGAGGGGAGAAGTTTTTGCTATAGGACGCGTGCGCTCACCAGAAAGACATAGAGAGACAGAGAGACAGAAAGGAAGAAAGCATCCCACAGGAGGATGGCCATGCCGCAATCCCTTCCCCTCCATTCTCCTTTCCGAATCTTGGGCATGCATGCACACGCACCCAGCATGAGTTTAAGCTACTGGGTCCGGGATTTGAACCGCGGTCAACTACGTGGGAGTCCAGCAACATAGTCATTACACTAACTGCTGGTCCCAGAAATGGAAAATTCTTTAATGGGTATAGAAATTCAGTTTTGCAAAATGAAAATGTTCTAGAGATTTGTTACGCAACAGTGTAAATATACTTAATACTACTGAGCTGCTCTTAGAAATGGTTAAGATGGAAAACTCTACCTAATTTTTTTTTCTAATCACAATAAAGATAAATAAAAACAGTTCACACTTAAGAAAGGGACTGAGAATGTTGGAAAGAAAAGAATTGCAGCATAAAAAATGATGCTGGAATTTGGGCACAGCGCACTCCCAGCCGGCCGCAGCCTGACATGCCATGCGGCCTCCCAGTCTCCCATGGCTGCCTCCCCCAGGCATGGCACAGGGCCTCGCCTCACTATGGCAGCAGCACGGCACAGCACGCTCGACCTCATGCTCTGCACCAAAGTCGATGGCGAGACCATTCTAAAAGGACTCCAGTCCATTTTCCAGGAGCAGGGGATATCAGAGTCGGTACACATCTGGCAGGACCATGGCTACTTAGCAACCTACACCAACAAGAACGGCAGCTTCGCCAATTTGAGAATTTACCCACATAGATTGGTGTTGCTGGACCTTGACAGTGATGTGCAGTGCAGAGAAGAAATCGACACCCTTTTGAACAAAGTAGAAGAAAGAATGAAAGAATTGAATCAGGACAATACTGGGCGGGTAAAAAGATTACCACCCATCGTTCCAGGAGGGACCATTGACAGATACTGGCCCACCCACGATGGGCGCCTGGTCGAGTATGACCTAGATGAAGTGGTGTATGATGAAGATTCACCTTATCAGAACATTAAAATTTTACACTCGAAGCAATTTGGAAATATTCTCATTCTGAGTGGGGATGTTAATTTGGCAGAGAGCGATTTGGCATATACCCGGGCCATCATGGGCAGCGACAAAGAAGATTACACTGGCAAGGATGTACTGATTCTGGGAGGTGAAGACGGCGGCATATTATGTGAAATAGTCAAACTGAAACCAAAGATGGTCACTATGGTAGAGATTGACCAAATGGTGATTGATGGATGTAAGGAATACATGCGAAAAACGCGTGGTGACGTCTTAGACAATCTTAAGGGAGACTGCTATCAGGTTCTTATCGAAGACTGTATTCCAGTACTGAAGAGGTATGCCAAAGAAGGGAGAGAGTCTGATTATGTGATTAATGATTTGACGGCTGCACCAATCTCCACCTCTCCAGAAGATTCCACATGGGAGTTTCTCAGACTGATTCTTGACCTCTCAATGAAAGTATTGAAACAGGATGGGAAATATTTCACACAGGGGAACTGTGTCAACTTGACGGAAGCCCTGTTGCTCTATGAAGAACAGCTCGGGCGCCTGTATTGTCCTGTGGAATTCTCAAAGGAGATCGTCTGTGTCCCTTCATACTTGGAATTGTGGGTATTTTACACTGTTTGGAAGAAAGCTAAGCCTTGAAGATGAAATTCCCCCGTCATGTGTGCTGCCCTTCCTGACCTGCGTACGCTGTACACCACATCCACATGAGTCAGGCAATTGATTGTGAATTCCTTACAGTTTTCCTTTTTTAATTATTATTTTTAATTTAAAAAATGCAAATGGAAAATGTATATTTTGATGAGCTAGGGTGTAATTTTTTTGAAAGTCAGCTGAAGGACGACTAGACAGCACAGCAAAGACTGCTAAATGCACTGACCCCCTAGAATGTGATTTTTGTTACTTTTTATTTCTCTGTGGGCTTGTTCTGTTTTGATTTTGGTAGGCCTTCAATTTGGATATTTGGAGGAATAAACATCATTGTTTTGTTCTGGAGGGAAGTTCTTGATGGTGTTTCCTCAAAATTGACTTAGATGTTAAAATTTGGTGCTTATAAGAAAGAGTTAAAAAAATGAATAGCAATG